TGTCCCCCGGGCACCGTTAAGAGCGTGAAAAGGCGGTTCGCATGGTACCAACCACAAAAGGAATCGACCAAGTGGAAGTGCCAAAGTCACGAATTCTAACATTCTCCTCTGGCCCCCGACGCCGAAGAACCTCAGCAACCTGTGGCAGGTCATAGTCTAGGATGCCAACTTTTCGGCGAGTTTTGATCTGATGCGGTCACTCGAGGGACTGGAGATTCTACTGCTGGACGACTCCGAACTGATGACCTTCATGCTCTGCGAGACGGCTATTCACTGCTTCATCGGGTTAACGACATTGCTTCATACAGGCAGCATTGTCTACGTCGCCAGCCGGTTCGCCCAACACACCCTCCCTCAGGTAGAGACCTCGTTCAAGCTCTACAAATCTCTCCGAGATTCCCCGTACGACTATCTTGTCAAGAGCGGTCGAATCCTCCACGACGTTCAGATCACGCACGCCTTCCCAGTAGGCAACTCGATGGACGCAGCACCTAGGGAATCGACCAAGGGAAAGTGCCACAGTCACAAATTCTAACACTCCCCCATGACTGAGGCAGTTCAGACATCCACTAGACCCAGGAGAGCGCAGCAGTCCTTGACCTTGGGCACAGGCAGGGCTTTGGTCAGGATGTCCGCAGCCTGTGCCAGGAATGCGGGAAGCAATGACACCAGACTCCACAGTGTCACGGAGCCAGAAGAACTTCAAGTCGAGGTGCTTCATGCGTCCATGGTGCTCTGGGTTCTTGCTGACTGTCACAGCGCTGGCGTTGTCGATCAGGAGGCGAGTGGGAGTGGTGATGGGGTAGCCAAGCTCCCCCAGAAGGTGGCGAAGCCAGAGAATCTCCTTACCAGCTTCAACAGCCTGAATATACTCCGCTTCACATGTGGAAAGCGAAACAGGCTGGAGCTTTGCAGCCCAGCTGATAGCACCACCACCAACCACAGTCACATACCCGCCACTGGAGCGTCCGGTATCCTTGCAGGTCACCATGAGACGCGTCGAGTGAATATGCCAGGGAGAAGAGGGCCTGAGTAGCGCAGCTTGTAGTCCTTGGTGCCCTGAAGGAACCGGAACAGGTGCTTCACACCAGCCCAGTGCTTGAGGCCTGGGTTCGAGTTGAACCGGGCATAGCTGACGGCGTGGGCGATGTCTGGACGAGTCATGGTGGCGAGGTACTGCAGGGAACCGACGGCACCGAGGTAGGGAACATTGCGCATCTCTTCGACTTCAGCAGGGGTCTGGGGACCCATGGCCTTCGTCAGAGGCTGTCCAACGGGTAGAGGAGTGTCCACCTTGTTGCAGGCGTCCATATTGAAGCGCTCGAGCATGTCGACGATGTACTGGCGCTGTGAGAGACTGATCGAGCGAGTGGCGCGGTCCCTAGAGATCTCAATACCAAGCAGGAAGCGAGTCTCACCAAGATCTCGCAGTTTGAAGTTGCTGAGCTCTGCAACGACCTTGTCAATGGATGCAGTGTTGGAGGCAAAGGTGATGTCGTCAATGTACACTGGAACGATGATCTTGACGTCGTCTCGGGCGTAGAGATAGAGGGAGCGGTCGGATTCGAGGCGCTTGAAGCCCATGGAGCCCAGGACGGTGTGGAGCTTCTTGTTCCATTGCCTCGCAGCTTGCTTGAGGCCATAGAGCGACTTGTTGAGCTTGAGTACCTTGCCAGGACCGAAGTTGAAGCCCTCTGGCTGAGCCATGTAGATGTCCTCATCCAGATCGCCGTAGGTGAATGCAGAGGAGATGTCCACAGAGCGCAGATGCATGTCCTCAGCTGCAGCAAGAGCAAGAACGAGTCGCAGGGCGGCAGGACGGTAAGTAGGGGCGAATACCTCGGTGAAGTCGATGCCAGGACGCTGGGAGTAGCCTTTGGCGACGAGACGAGCCTTGTCGCGCTCAATGGTGCCATCGGGGTTGAACTTGATCTTGAATACCCATCCACAGGGCAAGGCCTTGACTCCTGGAGGCAAATCGGCTGTAGTCCAAGTGCTGTTGGCTAGCAGAGTCTGTATCTCCTCGATGGCTGCCTTCCGCCACTTGTCTGCGTTGGGACCGCTCATAGCGTGCACCCAATTGCGCGGATCGCCTGAGACAAGAACTGCAAACTCGATTGTGACCCATCCAGCAGCCTCGTCTTCATCATCCTCTTCGTCGTCGCTCGGAATGGCCGGTGTGGGCTCTCTGACCTTCCACCACTCACCTGGTGGGCGTCGGATGCGGGGTGCACGACGCTGAGCGAGGGGAGGCGTAGGAGGCGACGGAGTCGGCTCAGGAAGTGGTGTTTGAGGTGGAGGAGGCGGCGTTTGAGGAGGGGTCTCTGGTGCCCTTGTCGTCATGCAAACACTTGATCTTTCCGCCCAACTGGGTCTCTGCCCATGCCTTGTATCTCCGGAATGCGTCAAAAGCGTCGCTCTTGCGCTTGAGAGGCACAGCAACGCGGAAACGAGTGCAGTCGCGTCGATGAAGGTGATCCAGTAGCGGTATCCCTCGCGAGTAGGGACCTCCTTGGGGCCGTGCAAGTCAGAATGGACGACATCGAGCGGAGCGGAAGCGCGGTTGCCTGTAGAAGGAAAGGAGCCAGACTGCAACTTGCCATCGATGCAGGGCTCGCAGACCGGGTCAGGCTTCGCGGTAGAGATGGTAGGAATGCCAGTCGCCATCTTGTTGTCCAGCAAACGCTTGATATCAGCGTGGTTGTGGTGAATGAGAGGACGATGGAGCAGTTGAACTGTCAAGGGTGACAGGGACAGTGGAGGCGACGCGTGTGTCTGCAATCCAATCGAAGTCAGCATCGAGCTGAAGCAGAGAGGAAGGATCCCTGGGATCCAGAAGACGTCAGAGGCTTGGGAGACCGATGCATCAGTGGGAGCGGAGTCTTGCGCTTGCTTGGCTTGCTGACCGCGCTTCTTGCGACGCTTGACGACGTTGTCCCTGGCGTTGGCCTGGGCACGGCTGTAAGCATGGCAGGTGGCGACGACGTGGTTGCTCATGCCACAAAAGTCGCAGGAGGGCGGGGTCGAAGCGGAATGGGCTAGAGCGGCGGTGGAGGCGTCATTTGCGCGACGACGGCGCTAGGCTTCTTCAGCAATGAAGGCCTGACGGATGGTTTCGCTGTCGAGCTTGTCCAGGAGCAGGAGCGACGAGGTGAAGGCGCTGAACTCCTCAGGGAGCGCCCGGATGAGGGCCATCGCGGTCAGCTCGTTGTCCAGCTTGTCCAGGGTGAAGTCGGCAGGCCTGATGAGCTTCACGGCGGTGGAACCGAGGGTCGAAATGAATCTGAGTGCGCAGCTCACAGAGAGCGGACAGCCGGCTTGAACAGCAGATAGCGGGTGGGCGAACGGCAAAGGGCGTTTGTCATTGAGCGGGGTGGAGGCGCGCACGTACGAGGGGACGAGCCCAACTGGAACATTGTATTTGGGCTCTGTCTAGCATCCTTCACATGGCTGTAATGAATCATGTCCCATTTGCTTCCCTGAAAGAGGGGGGAATTTAGACAAGCCCACCTGGGACATTAGTCATTGGTAGATAAAGCCCAAGCACCTGTAATGCCCAAATAAACGGTCTAATTAGACGTGCATGTAGGGGGGTACCTACCTGTCTAATTAGACGGGGTTTTGGCGTTCTAGGGCAAGTACACTTAAAGTACGGTTAAAGGGTTTTGAGAGGGTGGATGGGAGGTGGGTTTAGGGTCGGTCTGAACCAATTTTGTGGCCTCCTTCTGGAGGGTTTGGAGGTCATCTGTGGCGGGTTCTATTGAGGAACAAGGTAAGCTCAGTGTTTTAGGAATCAAGCTCATCGGGTCCCATCTGAAGGACGTCATAGAAGAAGCCCAGCACACCGGGGGTTTGACACCATGCGGGTATGAAGGTGTCGTTGACATGACCCCTGGTCAGGAAGCAAAACCCTGCCATGCCCGACCTAGAGTGGAGATTGAACTAGGGATAAGGTCAGTTATTTCTGGTTCAATGGAGGGCGAAGACTGGACTCACTTCTGTTTGGAAGGTCAGCATGTGTAAGGTTGCGTCAACGTTGGCAGCGCGGTTACTGACGTGAGGACCCTTCTTCTTCAGATCTCTGTGCTCCTGCAGAGCCTGCTTGTAAGCAGCTTCCTGCTCGCTGTTGAGGTCCTGCATGTCGGGGTCCTCCTCAACAAGTTTCCGGATCTCGTGTACCATGAGCCGCTCTCCCTCAGGTTTTCCTGTAGAGTAATTGAGGAGGAACTGGTAAGTAACATACCTTCATTGACCTCCTTAGACTTGGCATGGATTAATGCGTTCATTAGGTTTGGAGCCCTCTCCTTCTTATAGGAGGAGGTCCGCTTCACCAACTTGTCCACCTCTTCCTTCTTCCACCCGTGCTTTTCCGCCAGCAGCCCTATCTCCTTCTGCTGGTTCAATAGCAACGCCTCAATATCCTCCATCAATTGATGGCCTTCGTCCGCGCCCTCTTCTGTTCTCGATGAATAGCCTCAGTCTTCTTCTCAGCATCTGACTTCTTGACAGAAGCATTTCTCCTCGGATTGATCTCCTTGCCGGGATTTCTTCCAGCCCAGGTCTCTGCAAGGTTTACAGGAACAGGCGGCTCTGGGTTGGCTGTGACAGGAGGGGTAGAGGCTGGAGGCTGGGACATGGTAGCAGGGGGCTGGTACGACGAGGAGAATGTCAATGGTTTTTGTTTAGGCTTTGTTTGTTGTAGCTGGGAATTAACAAACATTTTCATATTTTCATCCACTCCTCTTGCAAGATCCAATGCCTCGGAAGCCCAAGCAAGTTAAGTTCAATGGATATTGGAACTGTGCTGTGTGTAAAGGCTACATAATAGCCTTATTCTCCTGATTGGTGAGTGGCGAGCATCTGTACCATGACAAAGGAGCTGATTTTTTTTATTTGTTTAAAGTCCCATAGTGAACTATCGGGAAGCCTTAAGATCCCGTGTCATCCTCCTGTGCTTCCTGCAGTCTATCGAGGACAACAAGATCAAGGAATTCGGCAAAATGGCATTTTCGCTGTGGGAGGGTCTCTTTCCTGAACATAGGTCAACGTTCCTTGGAGCAGGCTACCTCCGTAAGCGTCGAATCAAGGTGAGCTCTAGAAATCTGAATCAGTGGGCCATGGTAATCATTGTATCCTCTAGCGGTTCAAAGAATAGCTCAAGAATGCCTACCTGGAATACAAGTTCGGTAGCGCAAGAAATACGAAGCCCTGCCGAAGGTGGCGCGAGGTCCTGAGAGATATCGAGGGACACCGGGAGAAGTTGGTAAGTTTGCTGGATTTCCTAGAATGAACTGATGTTAAAATTCCTTACAGCTTGCAGCTGAGATGTGGGGCCTCATCGATCAGAAGAAGATCCCCCGGAATCCCAAAGCTGAGGTGAATTGGTTTGATTACCTGGACCCCAAGGCTGGACCTCCCCCTTTCACCACTCTTGAGCAGTACCACATTCCGTTGAAATACCGGGATGTAGCTCATATTTCGAAGGCTGCAGCTTATTACCACTAACTCTATGTATTGCCTGTCTGTGTCTATTCAAAAGAAATAGATTTTTTAAGCTACATTAGGCGGCATTTAGCCCTAGCTCTTCAACGGTGCTCCACAACGCCAGTCCCTTTTCCCACCGATGCAAGTCATCAGCCCTTTTCCTCTGGAAACCATCCTTGTCCTCCTCCTCAAACTGAGTGTTTGTCCGGAAACCATTATCGACGTACCGGAACAAGCTTCCTCCAGTGTATTGGGTGAATGAGGCCCGTTTTGTTAGAATTCGTGACTTTGGCACTTCCACTTGGTCGATTCCTTCCGTGTTTGGTATCATTCGAACCGTCTTTTCACGCTCTTTCGAACGGTACCCGAGGGACGGAAATCCGTCCAACGGTTACCGAGATATTACCCTTTTACTTCGTTTTGCTAATAACCCCGAAGCCAAGCCTCGTATCGCTTGGCTTCACCTTGCATGTGTTTACGGATGTACGGAGGCCCGTCCTCCGACGTGTTACCGACCCAAAATGTCTTATATA